TGCTTTGCAGCCTGAAATGAAGAAGCACCGTTTTTGTTTTATTCAGCTGTTACTCAGTGCAAGTAAAGGCTGTAATTAAAGCAAAAGGTGGTTCAACAAAATACTGACACAAGGGGGTGATCCTTTTTCCAATTCAGTGATTCTGGTTTTTTATTATTATTATTTTTTTCTGACATGTTGGTGTTATATCTTTCACTAAATATAGCTGGATAAAACAAAAAACTGTGTCCTTCATTTCAGGCTGCAAAGCAACTAAATGGTGGTGAAAAAAGGGGGTGTGATTATTTTCTATACACTGTGTGAGCATGTGTGTGTGTGTGTGTGTGTGGTATAGTGCTTCTTTTCTTTGAGTGGATGAGTGGAGAGAAGTCAGGTGTAAGCATGATAAAATAATTTGTCTTCTTTAGGACCTAGTGCTGAAATTGAACTGTATAATTTACATTCACTAGTGATATGAAATATGTGTGTCCTTTTATGAAGGGATGCAGAGATACGCGGCATTCATACATCCGGCTTACTTTTTCCCTATCATTTATAATTTTTAATAAACCAATCAGTCAAAATTGCATAATTCACAATCAACGATCACCATGTATTTATTTTATTTTATTTTATTTTTTGCACATTTTATGACTTTTTTTGTATTAATGTATTAATTTACTCTGTTTCTGTAGCCAATGTAATTGCTTGCTTAACATTTAAATAGTCTGGTTCAGTGTTCGCTGTAAGCTGATCCTGCAGTGTGCTAGAGTGTGCTAGAGAAACCCTCCACCTCCCCCAGCTCCACCTGCCTAGATTTTCTAGGGAATTTATGTATGCCTATTCACACAACAACAGCATATCTTACATGCTCACAGCAGCGTGTCTATGTATCTGTTGGCAGTAGCAAGTCCATACTTGCTCTGCAGGGGCAGTAGCGTGTGTAACAGATCTAGTCAGCCATAATCTTGTGTAGCCAGACCTTTAAACTGACAGATATTTACCTACAAATATATATATATTTTTAATTTAATATATATATTTTAAAATCTGAATGTATAATAGACATAACGCTTCCGCAAATATATAAATATATACATACCTGAAAAGATGTCCGGGCACCAGTAAATGATCACTCAGGCTTCAGGGTTGACCTTTAAATCCTTCTCAAGGTGACTATAAGGGTAAGTGCTGTGCGTTTTTTTTTTTAGCTCACAGGCAGTAAACTCTGCTTTTTCCTGTTAAACTCTGTAACTTCTCAAATCGCCTCTGGCACTGTGACAGTTTTTCCCACCTACATAATTTTCATAGCCGTGTTATTGCCCAGACAAATTACACATCCATTTGTCACATCCAGGCTCTCTGTAGTAAGGCTATGTTTGTGTTACCTTTCTGCTTGTTTATCCTTTGTTTTTCTTATGAATTGTTCCACAGGTGAATGAGATTTATCAGGACAACTCTCTGGGTGCCCATATTAATGTTGTCCTGGTTAGAATCATGATGCTCTGCTCCTCCAAGGTAAGACAGCATCAGCCAGTTTCCTTCTGAAACTTTGTTGGATGACTGCAGTTGTATCAACAGCACTTCAAAGTATGAAAATATCTTAACTATGAAAAATATGTAGTGTACCCGACACCAGTATTGAAGTATATTCTGTTATTGCAATCCAATGAAAAGTTTCACCACTGTAGCCGAGGAAGTTTCAAAGTTGGGTTTTTGAATTTATTTTGTAATGGATGCATTAACAATGACCTGAATGCCTAAGAAACTTAAAATTAGAAAACTGAGTGCACTCTTTAAAAAATAAATAAATAAATAAACAGCATACTGAAATTGAAGAAGTTTAATTACTGACTACAAAGTGGTACAAAGTGCTCCCAAAGTCCTGTCCAGCAGGTTTAAGTTTCTTTATTCTTTGGGCCACTTTTAATTTTTACTAATAAAAAAAATTCTAATAAAATAAATAAAAAAGTCAAAACTCTGAAAGCTCAAGTAAAACTCTAAAATCAAACTGTAGAAAATTACAGAAGATTTCTCTTGAAAACACATGGGCAAAATGATACAGTACCTCAGAAATTGGTTAGAAATGTATAAATTAAAATTAAAAATTATTATAACATTAATAGATTTGGCTTAAAGGGATAGTTCACCCAAAAATGAAAAATGTTATGTTTATCTGCTTACCCCCAGGGCATCCAAGATGTAGGTGACTTTGTTTCTTCAGTACAACACAAATGAAGATTTTTACATCAAACCGTTGAAGTCTGTCTGACTTTGTTTCTTCAGTAGAACACAAACGAAGATTTTTAACTCAAACCGTTGCAGTCTGTCAGTCTTATAATGGAAGTGAATGGGAATCACGGCTTTAAGAGTAAAAAAAAACATACACAAACAAAACCAAATTAAACCCTGCGGCTCGTGACGATACATTGATGTGTAAAGACACGAAACGTTCGGTCTCTGCAAGAAACTGAACAATATTTATATCATTTTTTACCTCTGATGCACTGCAATGTCTGAACTGTCTGCGATCTGCCGTAAAGCAAGAAGAAGAAGAAGCCGCGTCACGTACCAGCTGTCGAGTACGCGCTCAGGACAGTTCAGACATTGCAGTGCATTAGAGTGCATTGCAGTGCATTAACTGACAGTCACCACTGATAAGCTACCACTAAATATTGTAGAAACTTCATTTGCTGTAAAGTTGCTTTGCAACGATTTGTATCGTGAAAAGCGCTATACAAATAAACTTGACTTGAATTGAATTGAATTAGAGGTAAAAAACTATATAAATACTGTTCAGTTTCTTGCACAGACCGATCGTTTCGTGTCTTTACACATCAATGTATCGTCACGAGCCGCAGGGTTTAATTTGGTTTTGTTTGTGTATGTTTTTTTTTTACTCTCAAAGCCATGATTCCCATTCACTTCCATTATAACACTGACAGACTGCAACAGTTTGAGTTAAAAATCTTTGTTTGTGTTCTACTGAAGAAACAAAGTCACCTACATTTTGGATGCCCTGAGGGTAAGCAGATAAACATCAAAATATTATTTTTAGGTGAACTATCCCTTTCAGGTTCTAATACTCTATATAAGTGAAATGAAAGATTTTGATCAAATCCTTTTTTTTTTTTTTGTCTTGGATTCTACAATGGTTTCTAAAATTCTAAAACTAAATTGTGTCAATTAACAGTGTCATGTATTAACCTTTTTGTCAGTCTATGGGTTTGATTGAGCTGGGCAACGCTGCTCAGAGTCTGGAGAATGTCTGTCGCTGGGCTTTCCTGCAGCAAAAAGAGGACAAGAATGATGCAGAATACCACGATCATGCCATTTTCCTCACCAGACAAGAGTTTGGGCCCACTGGCATGCAAGGTAATACTTTTGAAATTCCATGAACTTACATGTAAACATAACATGATGCATGTACAGTACATCAAAAATCTCAGATATGCAGACCAATTAAAATTTGTGTAACTGGAAGAGTGGATTGTAATCTTACCACAATTTAATGCAGCATAAATCGCTGACAACGATTTATCTTCCTTCTCTTTGCAGGTTATGCTCCTGTTACAGGAATGTGTCACCCTGTGAGAAGTTGCACTCTGAACCATGAGGATGGCTTCTCGTCAGCTTTTGTTGTGGCCCATGAGACAGGACATGTGTGAGAAAAACTTTATCAAAACTTCCACCATAATATGCCACCACTGACCATTGTTGGAGAAGCTAATATGAAAGAGTCAAGCCCCAAGTTAATCATAATTTAAAGTAGTTCAATTACTAGTAGTTCAACAAAAACCACTAATTATTTAAAATTCAAGCCACTAATAAGAAGTTAACTATATTGAAGCTATTGGGTGGACGGTAATATCTTTGAATATCTTTTTTTTTTTTAAACCAGAGAAGTATTTATCTGCCACAAAAACAATCAATAAAACTAGAAATTTTGTCATTTATATTTCTAAATATTTGATAATATTTTGTATATCACTGCAAACAAAGAAGATGGTGTGTATACAGTGCTGCTTGAAAGTTTGTGAATCCTTTAGAATTGTCTATATTTCTGCATAAATATAACCCAAAATATAAGTCCTGAAAGTTGACAGAGAACCCAATCAAACAAATGAGATGAAAATATATACTTTGTCATTTATTTATTCAGGAAAATGATCCAATATTACATATCTGTGAGCGGCAAAAGTATGTGAATCTCTAGGATTAGCTGTTAATTTGAAGGTGAAATTAGAGTCCATCTGTTCAGAGGTGTTTTTAATCAGTGAGATGACTATCAGGTGTCAGTGGCCAATCCACAGTCAGACAGATTGTGTACAAATGGAGGAAATTTAAGACCACTGTTACCCTCCCCAGGAGTGCTCCACCAACAAAGAACACTCTAAAAGCAAGACGTGTAAAAGTCCACTTGGTTTCAAAGGACTGCAGGCTAACTTCTAAGCAACTAAAGGCCTTTCTCACATTGGCTAATGTTAATGTGTATGAGCCCATCATCAGGAGAACACTGTACAACCATGATGTGCATGGCAGCGTCGCAAGAAGAAAGCCACTGTTCTCCAAAAAGAACATTGCTGCCCATCTGCAGTTTGCTAAAGATAATGTGGACAAGCCAGAGGAATACTGGAGAAATGTTTTGTGGATGGATGAGACCAAAATAGAACATTTTGGTTTAAATGAGCAGCATTATGTTTGGAGAAAGAAAACACTGCATTCCAGCATAAGAACCTTATCCCATCTGCGAAACGTGGTGGTGGTAGTATCATGGTTTGGGCCTGTTTTGCTGCATCTGGTCCAGGACGGCTTGCCATCATTGATGGAACAATGAATTCTGAATTATACCAGCAAATTCTGAAGGAAAATGTCAGGACATCTGTAGAACTTAATCTCAAGAGAAAGTGGGTCATGAAGCAAGACAACGACCCCAAGCACACAAGTCTTTCTACCAAAGAATGGTTAAAGAAGAACAAAGTTAATGTTTTGGAATGACGGAGTCAAATTCCGGACCTTAATCCAAATGAAATTTTGTGGAAGGACCTGATGAAGCAAGCAGTTCATAGGAGGAAACCCACCAACATCACAGAGTTGAAGTGGTTCTGTACTGAGGAATTTAACACCTTCTCAATAAATAAATGACAAAGTATATATTTTTGTCTCCTTTGTTTGATTGGATTCTCTGGATTCTCTT